GCTTGTCCACATTGGTTGCCATAACAGCAGCACAGATGTGTGTCTGAGGAGTATGGGAAAGTCAAAATTTAGAAAGTTGAGTGATTGTGTTTTACACCATGGCATGAAGGCTCTGACCTGCTTCCTTCGAGGCATGTGAAGCCATCTTTCCACATCTTTTCAAACTGCTGTTCGTGCAGCGTCAGGGGGAAGTGTGACGGCGCTATCCACCCACTTCAGCATGCATGAGCTCACAGACGCGCATGATTGGCTAATGTGGCTTTGATTGATGGGGGAGTATGTCACCCCTCCCTCCCTGACGGCAAGGCCGGTTTTGCTTTGTTGGACTCCCAGCCACAGATGGTTGTGGTACCATCAGGATTCGGACTTGCGATCTCCGGATGATGGCTTAATTGCTCTTGTTGCAAATATCTGATGTCGAGAAGTGTGTGTACCGAGCAAGCCTCAGCTTCACGAGCAAAAAGCAGTCATTTTTCCTTTTAGTTCTATTCAATGCATTACGACTAAGCTAAACAAGAGATTTGTTTTTCTTATAATTCTTTTTTAATACCTAGGCATGGTCTTTTATTCAATATAGGGATATTACGCTTATTTCTGTCAAAAAGGAAGGCATTGTCTTGGTTTTGGATGTTAGAGATTTATTCTGATATGTCTGAATTGCTTTTTAGGGCTTTCAGCATTTTTGTGTCTGTCATTTTGTAAAGCAAATTAGATTGGTTAGAAAGTAAAATGGCTTAGTGATGGAGGACAAGTGTGAGTCCTGTGGCTGGTAAAATTATCCAGTAATAGCTGGAACTACAAAAAAGAATCATTATAAAGCACTAGGTAAAACTTCACTCTTACAGCACCTGACTTATATTATTCTGCTTTATTTTCATCCCAGATGTATTTGTTATATATTGCATGTATCAGTTTAGATCTGCTGAATCTTTTGGTTGTGTTGTTGCAGGAGCGGGTGATTAACCATGCAGCAGGAAGTCATGGCGTATCGGGAATTTTTATGAAGTATGACCTCAGCTCACTCATGGTCCGAGTAACAGAACAGCACATGCCGCTGTGGCAGTTCCTCGTGCGTCTGTGTGGTATCATCGGAGGCATCTTCTCTACAACAGGTACAATAAACGTACTTGATGGCTGTGTTTTATACAAAGAATACTACCTTACAGTGTATGAATACTCTGTGGTGCTGTTTTTCTTTCCTTAGGCATGATGCACAGTCTGGTTGGCTTCTTTGTAGATATTATCTGCTGTCGCTTTAAACTCGGAGTCTATAAGCCCAAACAGGTACGTTATTTTTATATACATATATATATATATATAAATGATCTACTTTTGCAAGGTTTTCATCTCAGTAACTTGAGGTATAATACCTGTACAGCCTAATATCTGTTTACAACTTCACATTTTCAGACATTATTTTTAATTCTACCACAGTGCAATTGGACCAGTTTAACACTGTTAAAGTTGTGTTGAAGCAGTACAGTAGACTCCTTCAAACCCTGAAGATGAGTTGTACTTTAATCGTCTGTGTTGTTGTAGGTCAGTGTTGTGGATGGCCATGCAAACAGCCGAACGCCTCTACTGTCAGAGAACGGTGGACTCTAGCAGCTCAGTGTTGGCTCCCCTGTTCCCGAGGACCTTCTCCACCTGAGACACAAGCACACCACGGGACTAAACTACCAAGCAGCTCACCAAAGCTGTTATTATTGACTTCTCTGGCAATGTGGTATTGTGAAGGGCCGCCTGCTCCAAGCACATAACTGTAACTCAGGCTGTTAACAAAAGTATTGATTGTTTGCTTTCATTACCAACAGGACACTTCAGCATTTCTTTCATTCTGATAACAGTTTCGATCATCTATACTCTATTTCTACGCTCAGCATCTTAGGGAGACGTTACGTTCTGAGAACCTATTTTTTTTATTTGATTAGTAGTTATTGTGCTTGTGAGAGGCAGTGATTTCATTTTGAAACCAGCCTGAGAGTTTAAACATCATGTTTTAGACTGATTTATCTTTTGTCCAGCCATCACTGTAGTATCATCCACTTTTTACCCAGATTCTTTTGACATATATTTGTATAATAGCAATGCCCCTTGAGATATGACTCTTATATCATTAGCCATAACTGATAAATTATGACTTGGAAAATAAGTGGGGTAATTTAAAAATAAATTCAGTGAATCAGGAAAATCTGTAAGATGCAATGAATCAGAGCAGTATTATGATTTATGTGGAAGTCACATCGTGTTCAGCTGTGACTGATTAGCTGTGTGTGGGTATGGTTATGTCGTTTGTTTTGGATTTGTTTTTAGCAATTGGGCACTTTCCTCAGGATGAAGCCACTGAATCATATTTGTGAGTGCAGACCAAAATAAATGATATGAAGAGAGTGACTGTGGGACTGTAAAAGGGGGAGAACTCTGAGAACTTGAGTTCTGGGTGGTTTCTGCTTTGTGCTAGTCAGGCGAAGAGTATTTGTGTAGCACTAGATGTTGTCGAGTAGTGGGTGGGAGGCTGGGGAGAATTCTCACGTTGAGAGATTGAGCTGAGGATGTATAGGAAGATAACTCCATAACTCCATTTTGTGGTATGGATATTAGCTCTAGCAGGGGATCCCATGTCAAAGGAATTTGTTTTATCAGCAGTTAGCTGAGTGAAATGTTTTAGACAGATAAACATCACAGAAGTGTGATGGTAATAAAGTTTCCATTGATGCATATTTTAAACAATGGTTATTAAAAGATTTTGACTGCTATAACACCCTCTTATGCATATTCCATATTCTGTTTATTCTAAACCAGAAGGGTTTGATTAAGAATGTAATTTGTACACATCTGATGGACCGTCTGTGCTTGTGTTGGTTTGAGTCCTTTGACCTGATGCAAGTCTTGATAAAATCTTGCTTTCTTGTTTTCTCAGTCTTTCCTTTTTTTGGGAAAAGCACTATACACTTGAATGATATTACTCTATTACGTATAAACATTCTCACCCTGTTCACATAAAGTATAAGAATCAGACACTTTATTGCCAAGTATGATGAACATACTGGGAGTTCTTCAGCTTTGGTAATAGGGTGTGACAGCCAACATGTAAAATCATACAGAACGTGTTTAACAAATTATGTTTACTCATTCATAAGGGTGTAACAGTATGGCAGCTGTTTAGGTCTGTTATCACTTTTCATAGAAATTAATTCAGACCATACCAACTGTACTTTAGTAATAAAAGCAGCAGATTACACAATGAGCAATGTTTACAGGGAATGGGATGTGTCCCACACATGAAAAGAATTGTGAAAATCAGTTGGTGTATATACAGATAAAAGGAAAACCTGAATAAATGATTGAAGAAACCAAGATGCGTCCAGACAGCAATTTGCATCCTATGATACTCTGTAGCATGTCTAAAAATATAGAGCGATTGCAGCAAGAGGAAAAGATCGAAGTGATTTTGAAATAGGGATCGTTATTGGGAAGGATGGCAAGAGCTTCAGTTACAACTAGCTGTGTTTCAATAAGAGCAGTGACTGAAGTGATGTATGACTTTAGATTTAGAAAATAAATAGGGATGGAAAGTGTGGTTGAAAGCACATGATGCTCATGCATTAAAAACAGAACAGCAAGTGTTCTTCAGGTGACGGAGAACAGAAAACGGCACAAAACAAATTTCATCAACAATCATACAGAAGAGGATATTATAGTAGGGCTGTAGTGTATAAATCACTCAACACATAGCCAAATGCATATTGTAGGCTTCACTGGTGCAAAAAAAAAAAAAAAAAAATTTTTTTTTTTTTTTACTCTGGTATGGTCTAAGTCCACTTGTGCCCTTAAAGACAGGACACACTGCAAATCAATACAAAGTTCTTCTGACTGAACACCTTTATCCTATGACATAACAGGTCTCTAACAGGATGACTCCGCCCCACGTACAGAGCACGAAGGCTCACTGAATGGTATAATGAGGATGTAAATCATATGCTATGGCCTTTATATTCATCAGATCTCAACATAATCGAATACTTATTTATGGGAGATTTTATAAGCTATGTTAGATGTTACTCTACACCACCATCATCGTAGCAGCAGTTAAAGGAATATCTTCTGGAAGAACAGTGTTCATGACTCCAGTACAGTTCCCGAGACTTGTAGAATCTGTGCCAAGATGGTTTGAATCTGTTCTGGTGGTTGGTGTTGGCCCAACACTTTACTAAGACATTTAATGTTAAATTTGCCACCCATTATTTATAACTTTATCTCTTCTGTTTACTTCCCTCTGAAATTCGAGCTCCAACAGTTTGCTGATCTAAACTAAACTTTGTGGCAAAACAGGACACTCAGAGTGAAGGCTTTGCACAGAGGACTATACAGAATACAGAATTATCTGGTGTTGTCCCTGAATTACCAATTCATCGGTTTTGTTGCAGTGAACACAAAACCCTTCAGCACTTGTGTTTCATCATCAGCTGAAAAAGATGTCTCGCAGCACCTGCAGAGCTTCACCGTCAGAATCACTCTGAGGGTTGTCCTCCTCAGACTCCGCTTCCTTCTCCAAAACCGCTGATGAAGCTAAAGGCTGCTCACCAGAGCTCTCTGATGCACTACTGCACCGTCTCTCCTCTAAAAACTTGCTGTATGCTACTTTCGTTTGCTCAGCAATATCTATGGCTGGCTCTGAATCTTCTGAGTCTGTCGTCTCTTCATGATCAGTCTCTGGAATCACTGTCATTTCAGTGTTCAGCGGAGCACATCTGTCTGCTGCAGCTGTCTTTCATGTAAAGACAAACAAGGTTAAATGATAATGATGATGAGACATGATGTGCACAATGTAACTAACTTTATTTCTGTTTTAAACAATCTTAGTGAGTCGACAAGGGTTAAAATGTGAAGGTAGTACTAGTTATATTTACAGCATTTGGCAGATGCCTTTATCCAAAGCGACTTATATTTATCTCATTCATACAATTGAGGGTTAAGGGCTTTGTTCAAGGACCCAGCTGTGACAGAGGGGGGATTTGAACTCGGGACTTTCCGAGCACTAGTCCAACGGCTTAACCACTGAGCTACGCTTCATTCAGCTTAAGTCAGAAGCATAAACCTTCAGAAAAGTCCAACGAGGTCTGAGCAGCTCTCAGCTGCCAAACACAGGCTGAGCTGGTTTTACCATCTGATAAGTTATTTTTCAGCTTCCTTATTATTTTTAAGAAGTCCACATTCACTGCCAAATGTCTAGGAGTCAATAAACAGGATTTTTCCATGAAAACCTCTCACCTCTCCGTTATGTCTCTTTATAACACTGAGTGCTGTTTCCATGAGCTCCCGTTCATTCATCCAGTACATCATTCTGCAAAAAACAAACAAAAAAAAAACCCACCGAAATCTCTCCTCTGTTTACCAAGATGTCACTTCTGCTTTCACATAAGTATCAGAGAAAAAAGAAAGAAGTTTAATTAAAGCCTGTTTCTACAACTATACCTTTTGGTGCCCTTTTTTCGTGCAGATTTGTTCGTGTTTACTTCCGGTTTCCTCTTTAGAGACTCTCTGATCTCCTCTGCTTTGCCACTTTTCTGCTCAGATGCGACCATCCAGGCTGGAAGATTCCGTTTTGCAGACATAATAATGCAACAGTCAATTGATCCAAACGAGCTACTCATATCATAAACCCCATGAAAACGCTGTGAAACGCCAAAACACACCGCTCCATGTGACTTCCTGTCTCATGGTTGCCATGGTTTCATTCTCACAGGGTGCGTCCCAAATCAAATCCACTTTGACCACAAAGACCCCTTGTGTAGTACGGGGTAAAGGGAAGATTCAGCCATTTTCTAGGGTGTTCAAATGTAGAAATAAATGATCCTAAAACACTGAGGGAAATTTGACAATAGTTACATCCTACTGCATCACAAAATGCAAAAAACGTGTGCCCTTACTAATATTAGTAATAGTTTACTGCATTCATGTCAGATTTTAAACTAAGTTCCATCCATCCATTTTCTGTACCGCTTATCCTACACAGGGTCACGGGGAGCCTGGAGCTTCTCCCAGCGGACTCGGGGATAAAGGCGGGGGACACCCTGGACAGGGTGCCAAGCCATCGCACACACACTCACTCACTACAGACAATTTAGAGTCAATCAGCCTACAATTAATGTCTTTGGACTGGGGGAGGAAACCGGACTACCCGGAGGAAACCACCAAAGCACAGGGAGACCATACTCCTCTAATTTCAACAACTCAGAAAAGCTATACTATAATACTCTTAATAATGACTATCCTTACTATGACTAAACTGTTTGATAGAGTTCAGTCAGATCCTTACGTTACACTACTAACTACCTTTACCTTTGCATTACTGGTATGCATCATACTGTTTACCACTCTGTACACTGTTAACTTATTGCACCATAACCTTGTTACCTCATTTTAACTCATTTGCTATTTGCACTCCTGGTTGGATGCTAACTGCATTTTGTTGTCTCTGTACTCATACTCTGGCAATGAGAATAATGTTGAACATAACCTAACCTAACCTTTAACTGTGATTTAACTGTCAAAAGTCAGAGCTGTCAGAAAAGTCTGGGTTTTGTACTGTTTTGAGGCATTTCCTTTCTGAAATACTCCGGCAGCATTGTTTACACTTGTCAGTACAGTGAGACAACAATTTGTCCCTCAGTTTTTTTTTTAATAACCACATTACAAAGAGTGTCCACTGTAAGCTGTTTCAGACTGAACAATTTCAGGAACATGCTGATAACATGACTAACATCAACAGTATTTACCTTTATAGCACATGGTTTATTATATATATATATATATATATATATATATATATATAATAGACATAGACATGATACATTGTCAGTGAACATCACACATAATAATTTAATGCACATGTCTAGAAACCAGTATTACAGGCAGTATCCAGTTTCAGCTTCAGACACCCCGGGGCAAACACCACAAGCTGTTTGGGCTAACATTAGATACATCATTTGCCTTGGTGTCTGTTTCTGTTAATAGGCATTTTCTTACCTTCGTAGCTGTGTATGCTTGATGAAAGATACAGAAACTGACTGTGAAATACAACCATTGTGAGTGTAGTGACTGAACTGGAAACACAGTAACAGTATTCACGAGAACATATGCAGAAGTGTTTGTGCAATGACTCCATTACGAGTTTAACGATGAGGAAAACTTTTAATTACTGTAATTCTGACTTGATTTTAAGTCAAAAAATTTTTTTTTTCAGCATGGCAGCCAATTTGCCACCCCATTTGTATAGACTATGACTTCTCCCCTATAATCATCAACTTAAATGTTTATTTGTGCAACATTAGCCTGTTTGTTAGTTAGCTGTTGGGCAATATCAGGTCTATTGCTAACATAAGTTGCGTGTAGTTTTTTTCTCATGTCACACGCGATATTTTTCAGTATTACGGCAATCCTATAAACACAGGCCAGTCCTTTTGGTTTCTCAGTTGGCCACTATGAACAAAACTGTAGCTCGGTTTGAGACGCACCCCAGCTGAAGAGCTTCATCAACGGCTGATGAGCGCGACGCCGCGACCTCGACATTGCGACAGCGCCACCGCGGGGTCTGGAGCACTCAGGTCGCACTGCTCTTCTGGCTTCTTCATCATAAAATAATATTTTGCTTGTTTATGAAAGATCTGTTGATACACGTCCGGTTTAGCAGAACTGTCAGCAATCTATAAAGTTTCCCCAGTTTGGTGTGGACTGCATCGGTTCATTCATACCAATGATGAACAAAACGAACTGGACTGACCTGCACTAAATAACTGAATTATGTTACGCAATTCCAAGAGCCGACTCTTTTAGGTGAACACTTAGAGCCGACTCTTATAATTTATAATTATTTCAATAGAATTTATAGTCTCATATGCAATGAAATGTTATTTTGTTAATTATAAGGAAGGATAAGACTTCACACAACACCTTATTAGAAGAATATTTATCTTATAACCCTTCTTATCCTATACTGCATGGGTGTACATACAGTGATTATAGGCTGTTGTGTCAAAAGACTGATAATAACGAGGCTAATTTTTTAATAATTATTTTATTCAATGGATTGTAATTTAATTGAAATTAAACGTAAAAAACAAAACAAAACAAAACAAAACAAAAACAACCCTGCATTATTTCTCAAACTCTCCTGACATCTAGTGGTCGGAAACTGTCATTACATGCAAAACCGCTCATATTACAGAATAAATTCAAAGGTGATTTTGTCAAATAATTAAATTTAATTTAAAACAATGAAACAACCCCATGTATGTAAATGTCATTTGCTTTAATGTCACCCACAAATGAACGCTGTAGATTGTGTAGATCTATAGATATTAATACTTGAACGTGGCTGGTGCTCGTTTAACACCTTGTTGTTTAACACCTGTACATGGAAATAATAACTGTCTGAGGAATTTTGGCACCAAGCGAGATGCCCAGCTCTTTGTCTCTGAGGAGCTTCAATTGCAGACACAGGAAGTGACGTGTGTGTAGCGTCAGAGTGTGGCAGGTCTGAAGGTGTGATGTCACTGTACTTCAGAAGCTCCTTGATCAGAGAAGCATCTAAAACGGTGCCCACATAAGGAAAACTCTCATGAGGTCTTGAGGCGAGATCTCTGAAGACGTGCTCTGTTGGACTCCAGAAGATTCAGCTAGCAGTCTGATCAGAATTAAAGTGGCGAAGTTTGTGCTGTCATTAAGTACTGCTACCTGAGATTTTACACTGGTGCTGTCACTGTCACTATAGCTCAGGTCATCCAATTCTTGGATGACCTTAAGAATTGTGGCAAAAAAAAAAGCATCCTTCAGCTCCAGACTTTCAGTGTTAATCATGCATCGGTTGATTTGGACATGAAACAAACATGTTTAGCTTGATTTAGTTACCTGCAGTTTTTGCTGTCTAACTGACAGGTCATTAAATAACTGATTTATTTACTATTTTATGCAATTACAAATTTATTTACAAGAATACAGAGGGTTATATAAAAGAGTCCCTTCAGTTGACAGGCTTTAAATGTGCCTGTGCTAGTGAGGCCTGTGCTAACAATATTGTGGTGTAATTGAATGCAAATGCTTCAATGGAAGCCACTTTTGCTACTTGTTGAAGATGTACTGTATGTAGTCAGGACTAGAGGAGGTGATCAGTTATCAGAATAACTGGAAATGAATTTTCTTAATGAAACACAGACACAGCAGCACAGTTGCATTACTGAGGGATGATTATTGTAGTGCTAATAAAGTCCAGCTCTTTTCATAGACTCAGCTCATCATAAGAGACACTCTTTCAGCTCCCAGCGCTCACCTAAAAGAGCCGGCACTAAGAGTTGACTCTTTCCTGAACTTAATGGCAAGAGTGACAGAAAACAAACAGCACCATTGTGTATGCTCAATGTCCAAATGAACTTTTTATTACTCATCTAATTTTTGGATTACAATACTTTAATGTGCTTGCTGGTAATGCCGGTCATTTCAAAACTCTTTTACAGAATACTTCTTGACTCTGAGAAGGTGACTGTATCCTGCAACTGAATTTCTTTTTTTTTTTTTTGCGAAATCTACTTGGATTGTTGAGTGTATTGCTGATTTTGTCATTGTGAACATAGTCTATGGGTTTAAGTGTGTGCTTCAATAAATCTAACTTTGCTTGTTCTACTCGTTATTTTGTGGTTCGTTTCTGGCACATTTCTCTATTGGCACAACTAAATATACACTTGTGGCTAGGCTACTGGCTTGGAGCATCAATTTTAGCACATATTTAAAACAAAGTACAATACGAGCTTTCTTAAATGTAAGCGCTTTAAGGAGGTCCAAAAAAAATACAACTCTTTAATTATGATCATTTCTTTTATTTGTGTTGTTCAGTACCGTTAACAACCGCTCACACTCATAGAAACGGACATGAGTATAATGAGTACTATAAAATGAATACTTTACACCATGTCAAGAGTTTATTTGACAGTATTTCAGAATATCATACAGGTAAACAAGAGTTTAGCAAAATTTAATATATCCGCACTGTTGCATTTCATAAAAATATTTGATCACT